AGAAATAGATGAACCAACCAGAACAAAGTTACTAATTTTAGATAAATTAGTAATTAAGGTTTGGAGATCTTACTTTTTAAGAGGAGGAAGATACAAAGAATAATACAGACACAAAAATAGAACATGTGGCAATACAAATTTTGCAAAATAATTTTTTTTTTTAGAACAAAGAATTGTTTAATATTATTGTAAACAATTACAATATCCAAATTAATTAACAAAGTCTTAGCATATAACTACTATCTAGAAGTCTCATTAATAGAAAAACCAGATTATAACAAGTTTATTAATATAAGTTAAATTAAGATTTAGACTAGAACTTATTAATTGTTTAAAGCATTAGACTATAAACAAATTTATTAAATGAAAAAATTAACTCTTAAGCATATCAGTAATATGAATAGAGTTAAGTTTAACTAGTTAGTTGCTTTTTGTATATAGTACAAAAGTTGTAGAAATTTTGTGAAACAAAATTCTTAAGAAGAGGAAAATATTACAAAATAGATTTTTAGTATAACATAGTATATTATATTATTAGTAGTTATTATATATTCATAATTATATTTTATATTATATTTATTATTAGTTATTAGCATAGTTATATTATAGTATATAGTAGTTAGATAATAGAATTTTAATTGGCTATTAGAAGTATGATACAGACATATGACATTGAGTAACATCTATGATATTACTATTGTTTTACAAACTCCAAGTACCTTTACACAAGTTTTATGTATCCTAATACAATTCACTGTACCAAATAACATAGTACAAGAATCTCAAGTATCTCTAATACAATCTTCAAGTGTTTCTGCACAATCCCAACTGTCTTTGCACAGACTCAAGTATCTTGATACAAGCTCCAAGTGTTTCAAGTACAAATGACAAATACATATAAACATTGTCCTAACTATCCTTGTACAAACTTTATTTGCCTCTGCACAATTCCCACTACCTCAAGTATAATATCAAGAGATATCACTCAAACTCTTACTACTCTCACTAGGTAAAAAGATATATAAAGGGTACCTTTTCCTCTTTCTTGCCAATTCTAAGTTTCTACATTTCAACCCAAACATAATGACCTTTTAATTATAAAATGTGATATTCTTCTTCTAGGATAATTCCTACAGGCAAGATTGTCACTATGTGTTTATTTAATAAAAGCTAATCTATATACTGTTACTATCTCGAACTGTTTGCCTATTGCTATATAGTAAAGTGAACTATTACACCTCTACCTTGTATATATTTGTAATAGTCAATCACTGTATCAGATGACCTTGTTACTTGGTTATATTGTACCAAGAAGGCTACAACCCTGTAACAATATAAATAAAATAATTTATCTATTATAATAAAATTTTGAACTATTATTATATTTAACAAATATATACTTATATATATCACAAAGTTTTTCTAAAACAGCTTAAAATTTTCTAGATAGTACAAGAGTACTAAATTTGATTGATTAAATTTTTTTTTTTTTTTATAGTTAAAGTCTCTATCTTGAAGGTGCAATATTTTTATTTAAGTATATTAGGACATGGCATGTTATTAGGGACTCATCTTACATTGGAGATTACAACTAGCCACATATGTACTTTTGGTATCTAATTTAAGTAGTCTGCTTATACATTGCTATATAAGTTCTATACTAGTTGCCATATCTGCAAGCTGACTAAGGGTCTTGCTTATTTAAACCTTCTGTATATGCAATCCTTCTTGTATTACAAGAACATCTCAAGGCTATACCCATCCAAGTTCCTGATACTTGTTGTTACCCTTAGGACTAATTTATTCTTGACAAAAAACTTACTAGAGCCTTATGTCTTAGACATATAAACCTAGTTTTATACAACATGCTATAGTTACCTAACACTTGCAGTCACAGGGATTATCTGTTTAACTACTACATTATACTATTTCTATTCTTGTAAAGTTTACTAGAACCTAAGTACCTATCTTCTTAGCATCTTCTCTATCATTCCCTACTAGTCACAACTTAGAACCATTAGTCTTATTTCAAATTACCAATTCAGATAACTCAGTATGGTATACTTCTGTATTCTTTTTCTTTAACAAATCCAGTAGTCTGATTGGTTATATGCTTCTCTATATATATTTGACATCTGGTTTTAACCTTTGGTTCCTATAAAGATGGTTCATAGGCTTTAACTGATCTAATATTATTGTCGAAAGTTTATGTTACCTCTTTATTTAGAAATTTTCAAATAGGTTTTTGTCACTTAGTTCCTTAATCTTTGACATCTAATGATCTTATTGCAGGTTTGCATCAAAGTCTTATGCAACACCAGTTATACATTTCTCTATATATGTGTAATGTTACACTTTATATAGATGCCCAAGCTCCCAATATCAGTAGAAGCTGACTTGGTATACCTGAGTTACAGCCATATGAGGCCAACTGATTGACAAAAAACAGTTACTATATCATAGATATAATTTCTAAATTTTGTTATAAGTGGGATTTGAATCTTAAACCTGTCACTTGAAAGATGACAACCCAATCACTATACTAGAATTGCCATTCTCTTGATTGGTTAATTTATATAACCTTATAAGTTAATTTAATTAATAAATTTTTATATATAATTTTTAAAAAGTTATATCTTATTGAGTTTTTAATCAAATTTAATAATTTTATTATTATTAAATCAGAAAGACCTATTCTACAAACTTTTCTTATAAATTAATATTAGTTTACTTAAACCTATTGCATCATAATTACGTAAGTTTTAATAATATAATTTTTTATAAAATTAAATATAAAAAATTTTACTATTAAGTTTATATATAATTTCAATATATTATCCTCTACCTTTAATTAAATATAAATTAAGAAGTAATCTAATGTTATACAAAAAATGTATAAGGATGAGTAGACCAGAATAGGGACAAAAGATAAAAAAAGAATTTTTACAAGAAAGTAAAAATTAAATTTAACTGTAATTTAATCAATATTTGACCAAAAATTTTTGTTTAAAGTTTGTTTTGACTGAAAAAATATATTCTATATTTTTACTTAAGAATATAAAGTAAATTATAATAATAACTTTTGTGTAATAATTAAAATTGTGAATTCTAAAGACCAAAGGCTGTTAGTACATTTTTCTCAATAAGTTTAAATCCTAAAAACTTGAAACTTTTAAAATAAATATAAAATTTAGTATTGAATAAGTTTATTTAAAAACCAAAAATAAGTTAATTTAGTAAAATAAATAGTTATAAATGTTTTTGTATAAATGAATTTTTAGTTAAGATTTGTGTAAAGGATTTGTAAAAAGAATTGAATAAATTTCATTTAAGTAAAGCTTCATTAATAGTTTTGTTAATAATAAGATATATATTTCAGTATTTATTCATATATGAGTTTTTGATTGATTTGATTGGTTGATGTTCATATGCTATGAAATCTAGAATCTTCAGATCAATATTTTTATACTATAAAAGGTATGATCTTTAATGTTCATTTTTAATATATTCTCTAACTGTATTTAGATTGAAAGTTTGAAGAACAGACAAGAGTATACTAAAATAATTCAGATATGCTGTAAAATAAATACTGAAATTCAAGTAAACACTATAAAGACATAATAGTTTAATGATTAATTCTGATTATAAATATTGGTTCTACTATAATGTTATTGAATTAAGTGTAAAAATGGATATAAAAAGCTCTGAGAGGTTTATCTCAAAAATAAAATAATCCTAAAATTAAGATGATAACCTGAGCATAACCTAATAATGTTAATACAGATGTAGGTTCAAAGGATTTAAAATAGAACAATCAAGCAAAGGTATTAAGTATAACAATTAGTAGGAAACCTTTGGGCAGACTTCTTAAATAGGTAATATAGAAAAATTATACAAGTAACCAATTATACACTCTTCTTGTAATGATTTATAGAATTACATTACCAAAAAAATTATTAATAAAAATCAAAAAACCAAAGAAATCACCTTAACATTATAAAAAAATAAAATAAAATAAAAAATTATTAATAAAACTGCCTAAGTTGAACAAAAATATTTTATTAATTGTCATATTTATAATTTAACTAAAAAACTATTTATTTTAAACTCTTTGTACCTATGTATTTTTTTTTTTAAAAAAACAAGATTGTCTCTATTATAGTGATTTGAATTGGTTGGCTATAATCGGTTAATCAATCCGAACCGAATAAATTTCGGGTAACCGGTTGAGTAAATTCTTAATCGGTTGACCCGTACAACTGATTGAGAATCGTATAGAATGTAAAAGACATCAGGAATGAGCAAAGATTTCGAAAAGAAAATAAGTGAACATAAATGACGAGCAAGGCGAAGACAAAAATTTGAGTAAAGGTCCGAGACTTTCTAAAGGTAAAGTGTGAAGTAATCTTAGCCGGTTGCAATCGGTTGGCATAAAATATTTTGGTTCGGTTAACTGATTAAGAAATTTTGTCTTGGTTCAAATTATACAATAAGCTTTAGAAGATTTATCTTTTAAGCTATTCGTGATTATATAGAATTTGTGATTGTTATAAGAGGTGATTATATAGAGGGTTGATTGTATTCGCCGATCCAATCGGGAATTTTGTCTCGATTAAATTATTGGGTGTAAAGCTTATCGTTATACTAACATTAAACCTTGTAATTCTAGATTCTGATAGTCAACGATCAATAATGGACGAAGTAGAAACACCCCAGTTTTGTGGCATGTAATTTTTACAGTCTATTATTTTTTTCATTTCGAAAAATTTATATAATTTAATATTGAAAAATTGCCTTTTTCAATAGATGTAAACACGAAGTTTCGAAGTATACGTGTCCACGATGTAATCTCAAATATTGCTCACTGAATTGTTATAAACATGATGTATTTTCCTACTTTTTATTATTACTCTTATTAATGTTCAGTGTAGCGTTTTAAACTAGTTTTATGATTTTAGACTCACACCGAATGCACCGAAGCATTTTACAAAGATAACATTATGGATGAAATCAAAAATCAACGCGTCAATGAAGATGATAAAAAGAAAATTATTGACATATTACGAAGGTTTGAGCAAGAAAACGATGAAATGTCGAGAGAGGCAATGGAAATGGTGGATGAAGGTTTGATTAATAATAATAATAATAATAATAATATTATTATTATTATTATTATTATTATTATTTATTTATTTATTTATTTAGTTGTATATTTATATATTATTTTGATCTTTTCTATTTTGGTTCGATCTTTATAGATTATGATGATATTACTAATCGGTTTAATGATTTGGATATTGGTAAGTCTTATAATGTTGTCAATTCTTTAATTATCTATGATTATAATCAGCTTACTTTATTCCTCACTTGCAGATTCCGCCGATGTTGAAACAATCTGGAGCAAACTGACACCGCAAGAACGAGCAGAATTTCAACAAAAATTTGTTGATGGCAAACCTGAAAACTTTCTGGAACTTATTGACGAGTTACCATTATGGAAACCATGGTGGGAACATAGTGGTAATGACAAGATAGTAGAAATTTCACCTCAAGACAAAGATGATGAAATTCAATTATCAAAAGATTCTCAAAAAAAGTTTAATGACAATTTATCGAAGAGACCACAGATAATATCAGATATAAAAAGAGTTGAGGTTCTAACAAAGAAACCTCCCAACCCTGCTTTGGCTTTGAACCTTATAAATATTTTGTATCCTAATATTTACGAATCAAGATGGATAACATAAATCGTTGAAATATTACCCTTAACTTTTAATAATAAATAGGTATGTATATACGTATATCTGCCGAATGTTTAACGGTTCAATTCATGAAAATGCCCAAGACTCGATAAACATACTTTGGGAATTATCTCCTATTTTGGATTCTACGGAAAGTTTGGTGTTTCAAAGTGTAGATGAGGCTATCATGGCTAGCACCGTCATAACCCTTCAAGTAAAGTATTGAGACTGCTATTTTAAACTTTTTGTTCAATCAACAAGTCAAAAATTTAATTCATTTCAATATATATAGAATCCGAAATACATGCAACCTCCAAAATTTCAGTCTTTAATATTAGGTGATATTGTTTGTTTACTTAAATCTATAGACACAATACTTACTGCATTCTCAGATCTCTATCGGCTCTTTCAGTCGCAGCAAGCTATTTCACAAACATCCATGGCTACAGCTTCAAGTAATCATTTACAAAAGAATCTTTTCAAAACAAAAGATAAATATAAAAAAAAAGTTTTCTTGACAGAAAAGAAACTTTATTTTTATATAGCATATTTAAACTCATTGCCCCAACAAGGCGCAGCTGTCTTAGAAATTTTGAGACATGAAGTTGAAGCTGAACGAGAAAGATGTATTAGAGAAGGACAGGAATATAAGAGGGATAAAGAAAAAATAGAAGAGGTATTTGGGAATAAACAACATAGTAATGGTGAAAATGAAATTAAAAGTAATGACGGAAAAGATAGACTCATTACTGAGATTTGATATATTTATAACATGAAAATAAAGACATAAACTATGATATAGTCCAAATCATTTTTTTTTTGAATTATTAATTATAGTGTGAAACTATGTGATATACTAGATTGGCAATAAACACTAATGTTCTACAATATTATAATACATGAATATTTAAAAATGTCTAACCTGACAAGACATTTCCCAAATGAAAACAGTAATGCCTAGTCCAATGTTCCATTCCATTACTTCGTTGAAGATTTTAATAATTTTAATATTAAATTTACCATAAATATATATATATATATATATAATGTCTCAAATTATTTTAGAAAAGAATTATATATCATTGTTCCATTGCCAACATTGTGCATTATTAATTAGACAACTTTTCACGATAGTGCGTTTCACAATAAGGGTTTCCCTCATGAATATAATAATACGAACTATTAAAGGGCATTCTACAAACCTAATTTATAAGAATTATCAATAAACATTCGCCCACTTGAAATAGAAAATTAATAGAAAAAAAAATCAAACCTTGCAAACGAAACATTCACGGTGCCACATTCCATCTAGAGCATTCGTGAATTCACCTCTGATAGGTTCTTGACATCCTTTGCATTTAGGTGCTGGTTTTGTTAGATTCACGATTAAAATGAAAATTATTATATAGTAAATTTGCAAAGTTTAGAATCGATTATTTATTATGCTATTCGTAAAATAGGTATACTTACCAAACTTTTTAATCCAATCTTTTTCACAATATGGAAATCCATCATGAACCATAAACCCACCAGCCTCGAATGGATTACCACATTCACGACAAAAGAAGTGTCCTTGATGCCAAGACTTTCCAAGTGCATTGATAAAGGGCTTTTTTTTTGAAAAAAAGTCAATAATGTTAAAAAATTTTTTAAAATATTAAATAATTTTTTAAAATATTAAATAATAACTTACCCCTTCGATAGTATTACCACAATGACCACATTTTGGACTAAATAACTCATGATAGTCCAAATGGCAATAAGGGTAACCATCCTTTTCAAAGAATGCAACATATTCCAAAGTAATTCCACAATGCTTACAGTTGAAATGTTCCGGATGCCACTTCTTTCCCATAGCTGCTAATACTCTACCAATAATTGCTTTTCCACATCCAGCACAATCTAATGAAGAAGTTAAGGATATGGGTCGACTATTCCGTCGCTCTTGAGTTATAGGTATATTTTTTTCTGATGGTGTAACAGAAGGTTCATTAGTGGTAATTGGAGACTCATTATACGGTCCAGGTGAATCAGATTTATTATTTGATTTTAATGCTGCTGATAAGACGTAATCCCCTTGTGCATCCTTATAATTAGAAATGTTGGCAATTGGATTTGTTTTTTTCGTATTAGCATCTTCTGGATTAACTGATGAATTATTAGGTTTAAGGGAAAGTTTGGATTCCAATGGATATGAAAGATCATTCACGATATCATCAATATTTCTGTATTGAGTTTTTTTTTCTGTTTTATTAGAGTGAGAAGATTCTGCAGATGACGTAATCGAAGATGTTTGTGTGGATGGTTTTTGAGTTAACTCAGGAATTGTGTCTGTTGGTTTAACGGTTTTGGTCGATTCTACTGAATTTTCATTATTATTATTAATGTGTGAATTAATCAAACTATTATGGTTCGATAGCGGTGGTGACCGCGGGCCGCGTACCACACCAATCTTTCGTTCTTCTGGAGGTGAAAGTGGTGATGAACCAGAAGATGATGGGCTCAACGGGCTATTAGGCGGTACATTAATAGAAGCTAGATTTTTTGATTTTGCACTTATCGATGTTGGTCTTGATTTTGTACTTAGATTTTTTAAGTATTGGTCTTAGAAAAAAAAAAAGGATTGTCAAGTATCAGAAAATACGATCTTCGGATATTATTTTATCTACTTACCAAGTTGATCCTTAGTTAAATATGACATTTTAATCAAATTAAAAAAAGAAAAAATAAGAATTAATGACAACTTCAATTTGCACGATATTTATATTTAAAAAAAGGGCACCTTAATCTAAATCAGGTAAGACAAAAATAAGGATTTTCCAGGTTTGCTTAAACCCCTTGGCTTAACAAGTGGCCAATCACGCGGGAGGCCAAGACTACTAGGTGATAAATTAGTTAATTTAGTGCGGACTAGGTTAATTCCACCATTTTGCATACAATCATTGTATTAAATAATATATATAGCATGAATTTAGTAAGTTAAGAATACGTACGTAGCATTCAGCCAAAGAATCTCGTTTCTTAACAGAGCATAATGTCGTTTAAATTCATCTCACTCATCTAAGAATTTGTGAGACCTTGATAATGTATGCTACATATTTATGCTATGTATGCATGCACAGAATTTTCTCAGTTTCCTATTTTGTCATCAATTAGTATATTATTATTATCCTTGGATTTTACTGTAGTTTTCTTTGTGATAGAGTTTCTATATTTATATTGTAAATGAGACGCGCAGTAGATGTGTAAAAATTTTGAGCCAAAATTCGCCAAGTTTTCGTGGCGAGCTTTAATTATACATCATGAAACTATTAACATTACTTACAAAGCATGGTCATGAAATTAGATTTCGAATAAAAGGTATGGAAAAAATAGAGAATTATTATAGGCACATAACTCTTAAATCAGTTAATTTGTCATCATTTTCGTCGAAGATAACTTTTACACTTATGTACGCGAAATACTTTCTAACAATAAACAATAAATCCAATAATTCCTTGTCCTATCTACATATTAAAATCAAAGGTTCACGTAATTACGTAGAGGTCACGCATTTCAATTAATATAAATAAATATTTATACAATATAACAAGTACGTACACCGTCATACGTACATACTTTTTTATGAATGTGGCTGTTCATCATAAATAATCGATCCAGAAACAATAGCGGTGTGACAGATTTTGTTCCGACCATTGGATTATTGTCTTTTATTAATGACCATAAAAGAAAACAAAAAATCCAACAAAACTTTCATCCTCAACAAGCAAATTCAAATTTGTTATTAAACCCAAATACAAGAATGGATCAGTCTTCACTATCACGATGAATACTGTTGCTACTAATAGAGGTGCAGACATTTTTGTGGCAGTGCTACCTCAATTACGTTACGACTCTATTACTACCATCGCAACCTGTTGTACGTAGCAATAAATGTCTAAGGTGGTAATGACCGCCGTAAGCTGTAATAAATGTCGTAGGTCACAATACTTGTCGTATTTATGTATAGCATATTGTCTTTGGACCTAGTATTCAGGAAAAAATAAAATATCTTTACACTTTCTGTACGAACTTTGATAATGATTTTTGTTTCAAAAGAAGCAAGATATATAGTTCAAATCATAACATGAATATAAATTAATAAGGCATGAACCAGAGTATATATATGTGAGTACTTTGTATTATTTTTAAGTTGAGTTTACTATTTTCAATATTCTTTTTGAATAAAATAGTTGTGCCCTTTATAACAATTAAGGAACCATTTTAGTTACGATATTATTTAGTTACGATATTACCGATATTACGCATCAATTTATTTTGAAATATAAAAGTTTTTGATGCGCAAAAACTAATGTGAACTAATTAACAGATCCCAATCATTTAATTTTGGTTTATAATTCTTGAATTGATCTTTATAACGGTTCCGAATGGTATCAAAAGTTGAATTAAAGAGCGAATTAAGCTGCATTTGTAAAATATTTTAAAAACTACATAATAAAATAATTATACATGCTCATATGTACGTACCATAACCCATATTTGATGATAAATTCTTCGGCAAAAAATTTGATTTACTAAATCTTTAGAACGAATACGTAATCCATGCGATTGATATGTATGTTAACTGCCGGTACATAGTAATTTTTTTAATTCACATGCAATAAATATAAGTTATAGTATATTATGATTAATCCCTACGTGTTGGCAACGCTATACTAGGATAAGTATATATTATTAAATGTGTGATTTAATTTTTTACGTAATAAGTAATTAACTTGCTCATCTCTAACTAGGATAATGGACTATATCGATAAATCAATATCGATATATTAAAAGATCTACAAAAAAGATCTCCATTAAACCAACCAATCACATTCAAGAATTTGTTAACGGACGGACAAGTCTCAACTGTTAGTCCTTCGGAATTATCTATATTGATATCACGACCTACGACATTATTTACTACTTCTATTTCTATTACAACCCACGACATATTAACTTATATTACGACTTACGTCAATACTACAAAAAGTTGCAACTTTAGCAGTGAAAGTTGCAACTCCGTTACCTCAAAAATGTCTGCACCTCTAGTTACTAATAATCAAGTTGATATCCTATTGCAAGATTTAGGAGCCGAGCCACTTTTTGCTGCAGTTCAAGAACAATCAACAAATTCTTTCTCAAATGTGTCAGTTCAACATGCTCCTGTTAAACAAGAAGCAATGGAAGCAAAAGATGTATTCGATTCTCTAATGAAGAGAATCACTCCAAGCTCACAGGCACCAATAGAACAATCATTATCAATTAATAATAATAACACTATCAATAACAATAACAATAACAATAACAATATTCAATTAACTACTCCAAATCCAATATCTATATTGAATGAATTGCATCAAAGATTACGAACTGGAAAACTACCTATATATGAATATCTGATCGAACCTACTTCTGGTCGTTTCGATTGTAAACTTGAGATCTTTGGTAAAATTTATAGAACTAATCAACCAAGAGTACGTAAACAACAAGCAAAAGAAGATGTTGCTCTTATTGCTCTCAAAGATCTTGTAAAAGAAAATGCTCATCCTGCTATTGCTGATTCTGTGGGTCAAGATGTAATGAACCATTTTGAACCATCTGATAAAAATTCTATAGACGAAAATTTCATGCCAAAATCTGAGATTTGGTATCGTAAACAATTAACTGAACATCCCGAAAAAAAGCCTCGTGTTATCCTTTTGGAATATTGTCAGATGAAACGTTTATCAACTCCTGAGTATCGTGGAAGAACTGATGAGAGAGGTCGTTATTTTTTTGATTGTGTTATTGGTGATCGTATTTTTAGTGCTGAAGGTGTAGGTTTTTTAAAGATGGCTGATGCTAAAGATTGTATTGCCGCAAAATCTTTTTCTTTATTATATCAAGAATTTTGTGAACAAGAACAACAGGAAAAAAGTCCTAGAAATACTTTAGATCCTTATCCTAAAAGTATTTCTGATTCTTATCCTAAAAGTATTCCTGATCCTTATCCTAAAAATATTTCTGATCCTTATCCTAAAAATATTTCAGATCCTTATCCTAAAAATATGCGTGCCATCTTACCTCCACCTGGTAATTTATCAGTAACTAATGGTATGAACTCAAAACACGCATTATCGATAAATAATTCAAACAATCAAATCGTCCCGAACAATTGCATAGGATTAAATTTATCTTCAGCCGCAAATGATATTAGTACTGCAAATCTAGTATTACCTTCATTGGATGATGATGAGTTACAATTTAAGAATGACTCTCATGAATCATCTAGAATACATTCATTGACTGCATCATTGTTGCCAACCAATTCTGAACAATCTTTGATGTCATCATTATCATCAACTAGTACTGATCGACCTTTAATTTCAACAATGTCTTCAACTACTACGGATCGATCTTTGATGTCACAATTATCATCAATCAGTACAGATCGATCCCTGATCCCTGCATTGCCATCAACCAGTACTGATCGATCTTTGGCCTCAACACTGCCATCAACCAGTACTGATCGATCATTGGTTCCAACAATGCCATTAGTAAATTCAGAGCGATCTTTGGTTCCAACAATGTCATCAACCAGTATAGAACGTTCTTTGGTTCCAACAATGTCTTCAGCCAGTACAGAACGTTCTTTAGTTCCAACAATGTCATCAACCAATGCAGAACGTTCTTTGGTTCCAACAATGTCATCAACCAGTACAGAACGTTCTTTGGTTCCAACAATGTCATCAACCAATACAGATAGATCTTTTTCAGCATTGTCGTCATCAACCAGTACAGATAGATCTTTTTCAGCATTGTCGTCATCAACCAGTACAGATAGATCTTTTTCAGCAATGGCATCAACTAGTACAGATAGATCTTTGATTCTACCATCTTCATCTCAAATATCTAATAATGGTTATCATCCATATCGTGCATTAAACTCTCCAATTCAACGATTTCCTCATCATTATCAAAGTTCTTCATCACAAAATATTCCATTAAGAAATGATACTCAAGCTAAACGATTCACTAGTTTGATATATGAGAAAGCTCAAGCAAGACGCTGGGAACGTCCAATTTTTGATTTTATAAATGCTGTTGGTGGATTTTATTGTAAAGTTACGATTAATAATCTAACTTTTACTGGAAAAGTTTGTAGTAAAAAAGCGGATGCAAAGGAAGATGCCGCTGAGATTGCTTACTGTCACCTTGTCAAGAATGACATGTAATCTCATATAAATAATTTGTTATATATATGCATATATATATTTAAAAGCGTTTTATCGTATTATTAGTAAATGAATAAACTATGGTTTGATGGATTATAAATATTATTATATATGTATTTGTATTTATATTTGTTATTTTTTTTCTTAGGATTCTGATGGTTCATATAGCTTTGTCCGAAAATAAGTTTCATAATTCTTAGTAATATGAAATAAATTTTCTGAAAGTTTCATTATATGATTTAAATTAACGAATAATGAAAAAAAAATTTTAAATACTTCCAAAATACATTATTTGCAAATAACTATATAAAATAAACGTTGGATATATATATGCTGGACAAATCCCAAACCCTAAAAAAATAAATAGCATTTATAAAAAATTGAATCAAAAAAATAATCTTTAAATTTCGCAGATATATTATACATGGCCATAAGAATATATACTGTTTATTTAAATGATTAGTAATAAAATTTTTAAGATATTAATTTGGCCAGAGTTTGCAAGTATAGTTTGATATAGCTATAGATAGAGAGTATAAAATATGTAATTTTGATTAATATTTCAAGCTGGAAATAAACTTATTTGCTATAACAAATATTATATTGCTTGATTAAACTTGAACTACTGTCAAACTTTAATCTTGCTTTGAAATTCAAATTAAACCAACAAATTATTTTCTTTTTTGAAATAATATTAATTTTTTTTTGGTTTATTTTATAAAAACTAATTTGTTAAAACTAATTTTGTAAAAACTAATAATTTTTAAAAATAAGAGGTAAACCGTGGTTAAAAAGGTCTAAAAATAGCAAATTTAACAGTAAAAGTTGTCAGAAGTTAACTTAGTTTTTTTATAAGGTTGAAATGCAACTAACACAATTATAAAGTGAGTTATTCCGGTAATAATAGTGATAAAATTATTGAAGTTGATTTGGTAAATTGTGAATTATTGGCATTTTCTCTTTTATAACTATAATTTTTACATATTGTCAAGAACTTTTAGCATTTTAATGTTGTATAAAAGTAATAGTAATTCTTTGTCAATGTCTACTATAATTTTTTTAAATTGGTAGCCTTGCTTTTAGTTATCAAGACTATATAATATTATACGTATTTATATTATAAATAAGTATGTATGTAATAAAAATTTATTTAATTATATAATTTAAGTACAACTTGTCTTAGTAACTATTTAATTTTTTCAAATTTTGCAACTTTTTAAAACCTTTTTTTAGTTCTTGGTAAGTAATTGTTATTTTATTAAAACTCAAAATTTCCTGTTAATGCAGACTTGCATTTTAGTCTTGTTCAAAAAGATTATATTAGCTTTTTCTTTATTTATTAAATTTAGTATATTGGTTTTTATTAGTATTTGAAAAGTTGGATTTTTCTTAATTTTTGCATTTTTTTAAGTTAATTTTTTGTATTAATATTTTTGTTAGTTTTTTTTATTATTCTTTTTATTATTATATTTTTATTTGCTTTTTTGAGTTTATTTATTTGTTTTGTTCTTTTTATTTATATTGTTCTTTTTTTATTTATTTACTAGTTTATACGTATTTAAGATTTTATATGTGCTAATAAAATCTTTTCCTAATAATCTTTCTTATTTTTTTATTATTTTGTTTATTTTTGTATTTTATATAATCTTTAATATCTTTTTTAACTATTCTGTTATCTTTTTAAAAATTTTGTTAGTACAAGTTCTTTTATTAATATTTTTTGTTCTATTTTTAATTATATTTATATTGTTTTATATTTTTATTATTTATATCATTTTTTTATTTATAATATTTTTTTATTTATATAATATTTTTTATTTATTTTATTTACTAAATTTTTTTAAGTTTTGATTTAATTTTGCTAGTTTTTTTTTTTACAAAAATTTGATTTGCTAAATAAACAATTTAACAACATCAATAATATATTATTAAATAACAAGTTTTTGTCAAAATAATTATTTTTTAGTATTTTATTATTATAACTTAATTTTATTGTTCAAAGAACATTATAGATAAAGCAATAAAGTATCTAATATTTATAAATTTTATAATTTGAGCTAAATGCTGCAAAAAGGAACCAAATTAATAATTTTTTTAAATTTTTTTTATTTAAAAAACAAATACTATTATCTTAATAAAGTATAACTTTTTAAGGTTTGCATTTTTTTATAATTTATTATAAGATTTATAACATAAAAATTAATTTTTTAAAGATCTTTTTTTGTTAATTTTGTTTTTTCTTGCAGTATCTAGATTATTTATTGCATAATACAATATATTGTACTCTTATTTTACTATATAAAAATTAATAATTTGATATAATAAAAAAATTTTAAAAAGTAAAAAATAAAATTTTATTAATATCAAAATAGTATTAAGATTTAAAATAAGGAAAAGCATAGAATATATTAAAAATTTATAACAAATTTTTTTATTAGAATTTCAAAAATAATTTTATAAACAAAATTTTTAAATAACAGAAAAAATCTAATATATTGTATTGTTAAAGGCAAAATAGGTACTAGAGTTGCTTTAACCCAGTACTATTCTAACCTATGCCTCTTACAGTAAGAATGCTCCTAAAACAAGCAAATGATTATGCATCAATTGCATCTCAAAAAACTTGGAAGTCAAGCCACTCAACTAAAACAATGTTATAATAATGCAGAATCAGGTACTATAGTCATTTGTTGAAGTAAATCTGCTAAATTGGGCTAGTTGTTTGTGCTATATAAGGTTATTCAAGATTCTGATCATGATGTTGAATCTAAAACCATTAAGTTCAGTAAAAAAATATTTGATTTTAGGTCTTTGTGTCATCTCTTTTTGTAAGATGTCATTCTTATATATAAGTGCTTTTTTTTCTTAGACTTAAAAAAGAGAAAGCATTTTAGAATAATCATTATTAGTAATAGCTGTATTAATAATAAAAATTGTCTTAGTAATAAACTGAGATCTTGCACTTATGCCTTAGCCTTGCCAAATCGTTCTGCCTCTTTCATGATGCAATGTTTCATAATGTTTGATATTTTCAAGTGACAATCTGTCACATTTCCTTGATTCTATATTCTGTAAATCTAAAAACCTCTCTAATAGTATATATAATAAATTATAAAATCTAATATTTAGAATGTGATAACTTAGTAAAGTAAATAAGTTGTTAACTTTCAAGTAGTAGGTTAGATATTTAAATATTATTAATGATAAAAATTTGAATAATTATTTATATAATACTCATATTATGATAATTATTTTTAACAATTAGATTAAAATACCTATAATAACAGTTATATTAATATAACTAGCAGATTATAGAATATCTATATAACTAGTTATATAAAGAAATACAAACTGGCATTAGGCAGTGAAAACTCTAAATAAGTTCTTGTAGTTATGTAAATCTATTAAAATTAAGAAAAAAGAAGTTTATTTAAGAATATCTGAATAAAGAAATAATACAAATCTTTTATAAATTACTGTAAAGATTAGATCTAAAAACAGATACTAATATTAAAGTATCTTGATAAACAAGAACATCTAATTAGAAGGTATTATTAACCAGACTGTCAGAATGAAATAAAGAAAAAAAATATTAGACTAATCTAATATACTAATGAACTGATTATAGTTTTATATAGGCTATCTAAATTAGGAATCTAAAGAACAAGTAGAAATATACTAAAATACTAGGAATATGCTGTAAAATAGATGCTAAAATTCCAGTAAACTCTACAAGGACATAATGATTAAATAATATAATTTGACTACAAGTATTAGTTCTACTATAACAATATCTAAATTAATTATAAAAATAGGTACAAAAGGCTTTGAGAGGTTTGTCTTAAAGATAAAATAGTTCTAAATTTAAATAATCAGTAATGTTAATATAGGTTCAGATTCAAAGAATTTAAAATAAAATATTCAAGCAAAAGTATTAGATATAGCAATTGGTAAGAAACTTTTAGACAAACTCATTAAATAGATAATATTAAAAAGTTATATATAGTATATAGCCAATTGTATACTCTTTTGTAATAGTTTATAAAATCATATTATTAAAAAATTTATTAATAAAAATTAAAAAACCAAAAAAATTATTTTTTAAAAAAATAAAATAAAATCTAATATTTATATTACAAGTTGAACGAATAAATAAAAAATGAAAAATAGGTAAATAACAGAAAAACAATCTGCCATTATTCTATTTTATATCTGTCAAATAATAGCAGTATAACAATAGCATAATAGCAGAATAACAGTAAAATAACAGGAGGTTTGTTGATATAAATAACATAATAACAATATAATAGAATAGTTATATTATTTTACTTTTAGTTACAAAAACTAAAAGTAAAATAATAGAACTGTTTTATTATTTTGCTATTGTTACTTATATCAACAAACCTTCTATTATTTTACTATTATTTTGCTATTATGCTACTGTTATGCTGCCATTATTTAACAGATATAAGATAGAATAATAGCAGATTTTTTTCTGTTATTTATCTATTATTTACTTTTTATTTATTTATTTGATCTGTAATATATTAAAAAAATTTAAATTTTACTAATTTATTTATAATTATTAAATATTATTCTTTATAAAATTCTTAACTAATAACTCTTATAATTTTATCTATACTCTTATTGTTTAATTTTTTTATTAAAATTCCTATTTATTATTTTATTTAAACTATTTATTAAGTTTATATTATAATATTTTAAACATCTTAACATTATTCTTAATAACCATTTATCATTACATCTATTATTAACTAAAAAGCTATATGGCTTTACATAATAATAATTAAAAATATTTAACTTTGTTTATAATTTTTACTTTTCTATTTTGAAATCTTTTATATTAAAATCTTTTTAATTAAATTACATGTTTCTTATACTTTTTACAAATATAACTTTTTTTAATCTTTTTCTTATTACTAATATAATTAAACTAGTTTTTTAATTTATTAAATAATTTATTTTCATTTAAATAATTT